CAGGTGAGGCGATGCCTTGCCCTGCTTCAGCTCTCGCTGGTCGGGCTGTAGCAGCTGACCAGCACCGATTGTCCTACACTCCCTAGTGAGATGAACCCGGTACCTCAGTTGAAAATGCAGAAATCACATGTCTTCTGTGTCGCTCGCGCTGGGAGTTGGAGACTGGAGCTGTTCCTATTTGGCCATCTTGCTCCGCCCCCTGGCTATTTTTTTTTAATTTTTGTTTTTTGAAGAGATGGGGGTTTCACTATGTTGCCCAGGCTGGTCTTGAACTCCTGGCCTCAAGCAAGCAATCCTCCCACCTCAGCCTCCTGCATTGCTGAGAGTATAGGCGTGAACCACCATACCTGGCCCCAATTCTGCACCTCTTGAGGCTCAACAAAAATATCAATGACTATTAAACCTATCCATAAGAGTAAGGATTGTATTAAACCATGGATATCATAGAGTGTCTTTGGGAATCTTCTCTAAAGAGTCCCTCAATTATTTTTCCCTTAGTTTCTTTGTTCACATACAGACTATTCAGTTCATTTTATTCTGCTATTTCTGACAATTTTACACTGCATAGTTTACGTTACAGTAGGCAACCTAAATATAATCTTTCATATGAATGCATCTTATACCTGCTATATATCTCATTCATTTGTTAATGAACTGATAAAGACTAATCATTGATGTCTCTGCTAATGCATTAACAATGTAATTTTAAAAGAAATTAATTATACACACATTTCACAGTCAGAATGTTAGAGCTGTGAGAGGTTTGTCCACTAGGTCCAAACCAAGGCCCTACTCCTCTATAGATTCTGCTGCTTTTGCTCCCTTTCAGAAGGTTAAGGAAGTACAGTCTCCTGCTGAGCAGTTCATCTAAGATTTGGCCAGATGTTAGAAATGAGGATGGGAATGAACTGCTAGTACATGGGATTAGACCAGGCAATCCAGGAATCTCTACACTCTGCCCCAGTCCCCTTTCTTTTTTCAATTCAAATCCCTTATTTTCTTAAAATCCAATAAAAGCACAAAAATGACATGGCTTAGACATGAAAACAGGCACTAAGCAGTGTAAAGAATGGAGGTCAGTTTGAAGATGTTAAAAAATCCACATTTGGGAGGAATAAGCTATTTCACATCCACAAAAATGGTGCTTATCCCTTTAGAAGCACTGCAATCATTTTTTGTGTTCAACCTTTTTATGCAATTTTTCTAAAATGTGTTTCATACTTTCTTGTCCTAACTGAACATGACAATCATTTAATTTTGTTACTGGCTCAGCATCAACACAATTAGCAATAGTGCCTGGCACTAAAAAAACAGTAAGGCTTCAGGCCAGCCTTTGTGCTTGTGGAATGTGTTTGCTGCCCTTTCACCTGCACCATCAGCATACCTACCTCTGGGACCAGCCCCTCTTACCCAGGCCAGCTCTCTAACAGGCCATCTTTAATCACCTGTGACCTGGCCATCAGACCATGTAAGACCCCAATTAGTTTCTTGAAGCTGGGTGTAAAAGTTAGTGTTAATTTCTAAGTGAGGGCCTGAGGACTCCATGAAATCTGCTTTGGCTATTCAGACCCCCTCCCCTTTGTTCCTTATTTCTAAAGGTATGTCTCTGTGCTCCCTTGCCACTGAAAATGTGATCTGTGGCCCGCTGGCATCACCTGAGAGCTTATCAGAAATGTGACATCTCAGGCTCTGCCCCAGTCCCACTGAATCAGAATCTGCATTTCAATAACAGCCCCAGGGGATTTGTGTGCTCTTTAAGGTTTGAGCAGTGTTAGTCTACAGCAATGGTCTCAAAGTTGAGCATCCATCAGCCCCCAGAAGGGCTTGTGGAACCAGAGGGCTGGGTCCCACACCCAGAGCACTGGCAGGTCGTCAGTGAGGCTGAAGATTGGTGTCTCTAACAAGTTCTCAGGACCACATTTGGAGCACTAAGCTAGATCACTGGTTCTCAAACTCGATTGCACATCTGAATCACCTGGGGAACTTTTACACACACCTGAGCCTGTCCCCAGGATCACAGGAAGAAGGTTCCCAGGGGCTGGCTGTGTGCACTCAAGGTGGAGAGCCATCTTCTGAGTTCTCCAGGTCCTCCTCAGGGCAGAGCTGCTGGGGAGCGGGACAGCACAGGCAGCATCGTGACTGTCAACCTTCTTTCTGCCCCAAAGCATACTGCCATCAGTAACAGTAGCTCTCAGTGGGGAAACAGGCCTAGTATTTCACAGACTTTCTGCAGTAGGGAGGCAGATGGCTGATGGTGATAAGGCTGCAGGAGAATCAATCAAGAGCAGCAGGGCTGTTGGTAGAAACCCTGCAGATCACCGGCAGTGTCCTGGCTGCTTCCCTTCCCCATGACTGAAGCAGCCAAGGCCAGAGCTCCTGGTGAATGACCAGCAGGAGAAGGCCCAGACCCTGGATCTCAGCCCCCTAACTTGTTCTGTACCCCACAGCCCCACCCTCAGCCAGGCTGGGCAGCAGGCACTGGGGAAACTACTCTCTTTTGCCTGTCTCTCTCTCCGGTTCCAGGTCCATTGCCCTGGCACTGTCTCTTATCATAAGGATAGGAGACCAAACTCAGGTTTAGACGTTGGAGATGAGGGGGGAAACAACAACAATAACAACAACAACAGCAAAAAAAAAAAAAAAAAAACAGTGCAGGAACTATGGCCTTATGACCTACTTTGAACTGAAGCCAATGGGCCTGATCAGCTCAAGGGAAGGGGATCCCTAGATGGCTCCCTTGTTTACCAGGGCCCTGTGTGTTGGGGTTTGGGAACTTCGCACCAGCTAACAGCAAAATGCTATGCAGCCTCCTCTGTGCCATTGGTTTTTGGACACTCATTTCCCTCAGTGACCTTGCGGGTGGGAGAGGCTCTGGACTGGAGCAGAGTGTGGAGATTCCTGGATTGCCTGGTCTAATCCCATGTACTAGCAGTTCATTTCCATCCTCATTTCTAACATCTGGCCAAATCTTAGATGAACTGCTCAGCAGGAGACTGTACTTCCTTAACCTTCTGAAAGGGAGCAAAAGCAGCAGAATCTATAGAGGAGTAGGGCCTTGGTTTGGACCCAGTGGACCAGATGACTGATAAAAACCATTTGCAAAGAGAAGTAACTTTTGGTGTGAAATTGGTTGTTTCTAATGTTCTGCTTATATTTCTAAGTGAATTAGAATCAAATTGTGTTAAATAATGGGGTCATATTTTACACAAATTCATTTTGAATGAAACAGCGATAATAGTTTAATCTTTAAGATATATTTAAAGCAAAGACTATATAGAAATATATTTGAAATCTCTTACCTGTCTTGTCATTTGCCAAACACAATCAATAAACTGCAAAAATATAGGAGATCGGTCAGCATCAGCATGGTTGTCATTACCATGGCCCACTCGCTGAAAAGAAACAGAAGGTTAAACGTTTTAACCTATGTTATGGTCCTCTTGAAAGTCACTGTAAGTTGTCCAGTGGTAAGAATCATGTTTCATCGGGCCTAATAGAATTCCCGGCACGTAACAGGCACTCAAAAATGTCTATCAAATCGAAATGACTTCCATTACTTTTAGAAAACAAAATTTCAGTTTACAGCATTTGTACATGTTGATTGTTTTATAATTTCTCTTTAATATAGTTCATATCAAGAAAGTATAAGCAACTAGCTAGCAAACTTCAGTTAAAATGGTAGGGTCAAGACCAGCCACCACCCTAAGTGTACAGTGTCAACGTAAGATGCCAATTAGCAGTTCATAAAGTACATTATGAATGCCATTTTCTCTACAAGTATAAAAACATTTTTTCCATTTTTCAGAAATGTCAGGAAGTCTGAGAATCAAAATAATTAATGATTAACAATCTACAACTTTTAACCAATTCTTCATGACTCAGAGAACCCCAAGAACTCAATCTTGAAATGGTAAAGGTAGGGTCCTTGCTTAAGACAGTCCAGTATTGTATTTCATATCTTTTGATACTTTATAAGTTATCAATAGATTAATACCAAAAGGTAAAAGATAGTATTCTCAAATACATAAATACAATTGCCAAAACACTGAAAATGCCACAAGTAAAAAGATAGCTGAAGGGTGAGGATTCTAAGAGAAGCTTCAAATAATATGACTATGAGCAAAAGGATGTGGGGGAAAAAACTCATTAAGAAAATACAAAGCAATCACATAGAAAGAGCAAAAATACTCTATGAAATTGCCACCTGGAAAGACACAAAAACAAAGAAATGACCAAATCAATATTAACATCTCAGAGTAACAGTGTATTGCCTTCTTTATAAAAAAAAATTTAATTGTGGCGAAATACACATGACATATAATTTATCATTTGAACCATTATTTTTATGTTTTAGAGACAGGGGCTCGCTCTGTCACCCAGGCTGGAGTGCAGTGACACGAGCATAGCCTGCTGCAGCCTCTAACTCCTGGGCTCGAGTGATTCTCCCACCTCAGCCTCCAGAGTGGCTGGGACTATAGGTGTGAGCCACCATGCCCAGCTAATTATTTTGTAGAGATGGGGTCTCACTATACTGCCCAGGCTGGTCTTTAACTCCTGACCTCAAGAGATCCTCCCACCTCAGTCTCCCAAAGTGCTGGGAATTACGAGCATGAGCCACTGCATCCAATCTCATCTTAACCATTTTTAAGTGTCCAGTTCAGTGGCATCAAGCACACTCATGTTATTATACAATCATCACCATTTCTAGAACTTGTTAATCTTTCCAAATAGAAACTCTATACCCATTAACCACTAACTCCCCATTCCCCACCTTCTAGCCCCTGACAATGACCACTCTACTTTCTGTCTCTATGAATTTGATTATTCTAGGTTCTTCATATAAGTGAAAAAATAAATATTTGTCCTTTGTGACTGGCTTATTTTGCTGAGCATGTTTTCAAGGTTCATCCATGTTACAGCACATGTCAGAATTTCCTTTTTTAAGACTAACATAGCACTGTATAATCATGTGCCACATAACGACGTTTCAGTCAATGACGACTGTATATCCAATGGTTGTCCCATAAGGTTACAATACCATATTTTTACTGTACCTTTTCTATGTTTAGATACAGAAATACTTACCACGGTATTACAGTTGCCTACGGTATTCAGTATAGTCACATGCCATACAGGGTTGCAGCCTAGGAGTAATAGGCTGTATGTACCATATAGCCTAGATGTTAGCAAGTTTTCCATCTAGGTTTCTGTAAGGTATACTCTTATCATGTCCACAAAATTACAAAATCACCTAATGATGCATTTCTCAGAATGTACCCTCATCGTCACACACCGCATGGCTGTATAGCTAGAGCACGTTTTGTTTATCCATTCATCTCCTGATGGACACTGGGGTTGCTTCCACCTTCGGGCTATTGTGAATAAAGCTACCATGGACACCAATGTACACGTATCTGTTTGGGCTCCTGCTTTCCCTTCTTTGGGGTATATACCCATCAGCGGAATTGTCAGATCATGTGGTAGTTCCACGTTTAATTTTTTGAGGATTCACCATACTGTTCTCCATAATAGCTCCATGCATTGCCCCGCTATAAAATCCTTGTAGGACCTGCTGTTCAGTATTTAAGGCACCTAGGGAACTGTTTTACACTGACAGTTCACAATTTAGGATTCATTCTTTCAACAGATAGCCATGGAACTCCTATGGCATATGCAAGGCATCATGCCTGGCCCTCGGAATATCAAACATTGTCATGGTGTCTGGTAGAGGCCAGGTCCTTGGCTAGGCACCTAGGAGACTAAAGCAAATCAGACACTGTACTTGTGCTTGATGAACAATTCATTTGTGGTCTAGTCAAGGGACAAAGATGTATAAATGACAAGGGCAATAAAGTGTTCCAAGGGCTTCCAAGTATGTAGTGGGTATGGTGGGAGCACAAGGGAATGAGTGAACCATCCTAGGATGGGGTAGGGGAAGGAACAGGGAGGGACAGTCATGCGAGTCATAGTCATGAAGGACATTTCATTTGAGATAAACCTTGAAGGACAGGAAGATGCCTGCTTCCCGGGTAGCCAGGAATTGATAACCAGTGGGAATGTGGTGGGGGACACTAAGAAAGCCACAAGTAGCTGAGGCTTACATGGGGCAAGGGAAAGAAGATGAGAGATGAGGCTGGAGATATAGCTAGGGCCAGATCACCAAGGGCTTTGAGCACACACTAGGAGTTTGCTCATAATCCTGTGTGCTACAGGAAGGTGCTGAGGGACTCACACTGGGGAGTGGCAGCATCTGATCTGTTGTTTGGAATGCTCCATCTGGCTCCAGTGGGGGCGACGGATCAGACAGAGCTAGGTTGCAGAAAGGCTACTGCTATTGTTGGGATGTTTGTCCTCTTAAACCTCATGTTGAAATTTGATCCCCAATGTTGGAGGTGGAGCCTAATGGGAGATGTTGGGTCATGGGGGTGGATCCCTCATAAATAAATTAATCCCTCCTTGCGTAGGGGAGTGTGTGAGTGAGTTCTCTGTTAGTTCCCGAGAGAGGTGGTTGTTACAAACAGACTGGCACCCTCTCCCCTCTCTCTTGCTTCCTTTCTCACCATGTGATCTCTACACACTGGCTCCCCTTTACCTTCCACCGTGAGTGAAGCAGCCTGAGGCCCTCACCAGAAGCAGATGCCGGCACCATGCTTCTTGTACAGCCTGCAGAACCGTGAGCCAAATAAATTTCTTTTCTCTCTAAATTACCCAGCCTCAAGTATTCCTTTGTAAAAACACAAACAGACTAGGACAGCCACTTAGGAGACTGCCTAAGGGGGTTGATAAGGCCTAAGTTGCAGGAGCATCAGGGGCAATGGAGATGAGATCACAGATATGCTATCCATGTATTCAAAGTTGTGGGACTGGCTGAGATCACTAACAGGTTAACCACAAAGAGAAGAAAAATGATCCAAGGACTCATCCCTGGGACACCCCAACATTAAGAGGTTGGGAAGATGAGGGAAGACCTGAAAGTTGGGGGAAATTCAAAAGGTCATAGAAACCTAGAAGTCTAATGAAGAAAGTGTTTGGAAGAAAGGAAGAATCAACAGCATCGAATGCCCAGGCCAAATAAAACAAGTGATGACTGTGACAAGACCAGGTTGGGGGGAGGGCACTGTGAGAAGGAATCCTGGCTGAAGTGCTTTCAAGACAGTCTGGAAGGAGAGAAATAGTGACAGTGAGTACAGACAACAGTTTTGAGGAGACTGTTGTAAAGAAGAGCAGAAAATCAGGGTGACACCTGAGGAGGGCTGTGGGGTCAAGAGGGTTTGTTTTTTTTTTTTTTTTTTAGGATATAACAGAATGTCTCTACACCAATGGGAATGATCTAGGGAAGGGGGGGAATGGAGGCAGGATAGAGGGAAGAACAATTAGAAAGTTCCATGATGGAGGCAAGTGGGCAAGGGCAGGATCAGCCTCAGCTGGAAGCCCTGATGGCTTATTCACAGAACTCCAGGTAGGGTACACAGATCCAGAGGGTGGGTGGTTGCAGGCTTGAAATCACTGTTTAAAGGCTGGCTCTACCCTAACTAGCTGTGTGACTTTAGGCAGATAACCCACATTCTTGAAACCTCAGTTTCCCCATCTGTCAATGATATTACTATCAGGATTAAACAAGATGCTCACGTTAACAGTGCCAAACACATAGTGGTGGCTTAGTAAATTGAGGCCATTAGGAATCTGATAGTCCTATTGCCTTCACTGTGACCATGGTGCAGTGAGCCCCAGCAATGGCAAGTAGGCATGGGAGCAGAGGACTGTAGGCACACCCTGATGCGTGCACCTCTGCTCAGTCCCAGCGCATGCTGCCATCGCTGGCATCTCACTAGGTAGCCTTCACCACTACTCCTCTGGCAAAGCACCCGTTCAAGCTTTCTCTCCCCTAGGACACACAGTTTGGGGAGGAAGGTAGAAGGCAGTGGCCTCTGAGTCTTCTGAGATGGCCCAATACAAACATCAGGAAAGATTCCACACACTCTCTCTTCCTTACCGAGACCAGCTTTTGCTGAGGGGGGAAGAAACAAAGGAGTTGGTGATGTTGTTTAAAACTTCCCTGGCACTTAGCATGGGCCAAGCATTGCCCTAAACGTTTGACACATATAAACTCATTTCTCCCACAAAATGCCCGATTTCAGAGAGGAGGGAATGAAGGCAAAAGAGGGGAAGGAAAATGTCCAGGGATCTGCCAGTAGCTCCCAAAGGGCATGCAGCTCGGAGACTGCGGACTTGCCCCTTCTCTCTGGGAGGTCCTCTTGCAGGGGCTCCACCCCAGGAGTGCAGGGACAGCTGGAAGCTTGGCACACTCACACCAAAGCCAAGGAAATCCTTGCACTACCCATCCTCCTGCTTTCCATAGCAAGTCTAATGGGGACTTCAGGAGTATTCCCATTCAATGCACAGTTCAGACAGATCCCTAACAGCTCAATGGCTTGGACAGACCAGAAGTAGCTGCCAGTTGGACTAAAACACAAATGGCAGCCCAAGAATGCCCTACTGGATGACCTCACAATTTCACTCCTAGGTATATAACCCCCTAGGTTGAAAGCAAGTTGTTATAGGCCGAATTGTGATCCCCAAAATTGAGGCCTCAACATTCAGTAGCTCAGGAATGTGTCCATATTTGGAGACAGGCCCTTTAAAGAGGTGATTAAGTTCAAATGAGGGCATTAAAGTGGGTCCTACCCCAATCTCACTGGTATCCTTATGAAATGAGGACATTTGGCCACACAGAGACACAGCAGGAGTGTCCAGTAGCTCCCAAAGGGAAGAAAGAACCTTGTGAAGAGGTAGCCAGAGGGTGGCCATATGCAAGGAAAGAAGGGAGACCTCAAGAGAAATCAAATCCTGCTGGGACCTTGATTTTGGACTTCCAGTCTCCAGAATTATGAGAAAATTAATTCCTGTTGTTTCAACCATGCAGTCTGTGGTAGCTTGTTATGGCAGAAAACCTATATACTAACATTCACAGCAGTATTCTTCACAATAGCAAAGGTGGAAACAACCCAAGCATCCATCAACAGATGAACAGATAAACGAAATGTGGTCTATACACACAAGGGAATACTATTCAGCTATAAAAAATAATGAAAATTTGCTCTTTGTCACAACATGGCTGAACCTTGAAAATATTATGCTTAGTGAAATAACTCAGTCATGGGAGGACACTGTATGATTCCACTTATATAAAGTACCTAGAAAAGGTGAATGTATATGAAGACAGAAATATTAGTGGTTGTCAGGGGCTGGGGTAAGTGAAGAATGACTGTTTAATGTATACAGCATTTCCTTTGAAGTGAAGAGTATGGTTTTTTGTTTTTTGTTTTGTTTTGTTGTTGTTGTTGCTTTTTTTTTTTTTTTGAGACGGAGTTTTGCTCTATTGCCCGGGCTGAAGTGCAGTGGCACAATCTCGGCTCACTGCAACCTCTGCCTCCCAGGTTCAAGCAATTATCCTGCCTCAGCCTCCTGAGTAGCTGGGACTACAGGCACCTGCCAACATGTCCAGCTAATTTTTGTATTTTTAGTAGAGACGGGGTTTCACCACGTTGGCTAGGCTGGTCTCGAACTCCCAACCTCAGGTGATCTGCCTGCCTGGGCCTCCCAAAGAGCTGGGATTACAGGCGTGAGCCACTGCGCCTGGCCAGAGTATGTTTTGAAACTAGAGGTGATGGTTACATAACATTGTGAATCTACTAAAGGACACCGAATTGAGCATTTTAAATGGTTAATTCTACATTATATGAATTTTATCTCAATTTTAAAAAAAGGCATAACTACACTAAGATAAAAATGCCTTACCAGGAACATACAATGCTTGAGGTCCATGTATTTTATTATGGCAATTCAGGTCTGATATGATACAGAAGAGAAAGCCTGCACACGTGTGTGTGTGTGTGTGTGTGTGTGTGTGTGTGTGCGCTTATTTGTGCCACACATGATGTTTACATCCATGATACAGCAAAATAGTCCAGCATAAACCTCACTGTCTCAACTTACCAGTGCAAACCTGTGTCCAAAGCTTATCCACTCCTTTTCTACGAGAGTTTCAAATCCTTTAATGGTCCTGTAGTAACTGTCCAACATTAGCATAGCCAGAGATGTGAGCTGGGCTGTTCGGTCCCAACCATCGCTGCAATGCACCACCACAGATGTTTTCCCGGATTCTATTTTATCAGCAATTCTTACTGCCCCAGCAAGCAGCATCTTCAGAAAAAAAGGCACATTAGATCAGGCTACATTAAATTTCAATTAAATGTAAAACAATGTAAAATAATTCTGGGGAGAGCTTTGGAAGTTCTGGTCAATAATCCAAACAAGAATGGCATGCAATCAGCTGAGAATCACTAGGAAACATTAGCATCACATTAAAAAAAAAAAAAAGAAGAAGAAAGAAAAAATCTTATACTGGAGAAAAACTACAGGAGTAAATATGGTTCCTTATTAAAGGGCCACAAAGTTCTTTAAAAGCCTGACCTAAGGCAAGCATTTTCCCCTTTTCACTATGTCACAAAAGTCCTCCACAAAGATCCCAGTCTGATGCTGCCCATGGAAACTACTTAATAAGAAAGTTCATGCACACAGCCAAGAGGCACTTATTTGCAATGTTGAAAAACCACTTGGAGATATACGTATTTATGGCACAGGCACAAAGAAGTCTTAACTGGAAAGCATATAAAGTACTGGATCTCTTTACCCTTATATATTCCAGCCAATGCGTCCCATCCACATTGGAGAGCCACCGTGCCTCATCGATTGAAGGGTACACAATCTCTTTTAATTTGCGTAGTGACTCTCGCATGACATGAATGTTGTGGATCTCCAAGAACACAAGTTCTGCGTTTGGGTAAGCACTTTCACTTTCATATCCTCCACCCTTTGTCTATGAAAAACAAAAGAGATACATCACATTATCTGGAATTAACTTTTCTATTCTTTCTAGTGCTATGAGATACACACCACTAAAGAAGCAACAAACTCATTTGTAAATAAACCTCCTATATCCTTATATGAGTTTCCTAGGGCTGCTGGAAAAAGAACCACAAACTCAGTGGCTTAAAACAACAGAAGTTTATTCTCTCCTAGTTCTGGAGGCTGGAAGTCTGAATTCAAGGTATTGGCAGTGCCATGCTTCCTCCGAACACTCTAGGGGAGGATCCTTCCTTGGCTCTCCCGGGTTCCGATAGCCCCGGGTGTTCTTGGCTTATACACACATCATTCTAATCTCTGCCTCCATTTCCACCTGACCTTCTCTCCTTTGTCGGTGTCTATCTCTTCTCCTCTTCTTCTAAGGACACAGTCATTTGGCTTAACCCCGACCCCCCAATTCACTATGACCACATCCTAACTTAATTACATTTGCAAAGACCCTATTGTGAAATACAGCCACATTTATGGGTACCTGGAGTTAGGACTGCAACATATCTCTGATCTAACACTGGGATGTGCTTACGGCACTGGAAAGGACCTCACATAGCTGAGACATGGACCTGGGAGATGTGGCGAGACAGGAAGGAAAGGACCAGTGGGTGGAGGGTTTTAGAGACCCTGTTCAGGAACCTGGATATCACTGCCTTGCGGCTCTGAGGGATGTGCACAGAGCTGTCCACTGAGAAAATCACTCTGTACAACATGGTGACTACAGTCAATAACAATGTAGTGTGTATTTGAAAATTGCTGAGAGAGTAGATTTTAAGTATTCTCACTACAAAAAATGGTGTGTTAATTAGCTTGATTTAGCCATTCTACAATGTGTACATATATCAAAATACCACGTTGTACACCATAAATATATACAATTCATTTATCAATTGAAATAGTAACACTTTTTTTTTTTTTTTTAAAGATCACTCTGGTCATAATGTGGAGATGAGATTGCAGGGTGTGAGGCAGACATCCAATTTCAAGGCTCCTGCTGTAGGTGAGGTAAGAGATGATGGGTCGTCCAAGAACTAGAAGAGGGGAGCATACTTCCTAATTCATTCCATGAGGCTAGCAGTATCCTGATATCAAACTAGACAAATATATCATAAGAAGAGAAAACCACAGATTAACATCCCTTATGACAATACATGCAAATATCCTCAACAAAATACTAGCAAACCCAATCCAGGAGTATATGAAGGGGACTGATTACACACCATGAACAGGTGGGATTTATCCCAGGAATGTAAGGAGGTTTTATTAGCTTCCTAGGGGTGCTATCACAAACTGGGGGACTTAAAACAACATAAAATTTATTCTCTCACAGTTCTGGAGGCTGAAAGTCCGAGATCAGGGTGCTGGCAGAGTTGGTTCCTTTAGGAAGGTATAGGAAAGAATCTGTTCCATGTCTCTCTCTTAGCTTCTGGTGGTTGCTGGAAGTCCTTGGCACTCCTCAGCGTCTAGCTGCATCATTTAAATATCTGCCTCTATTGCCACATAACCATCTTCCTTCTGTGTGTGCCTATGTCTCTATGTGGCTTTCTTATACGGACACTAGGCACTGGATTTAGGGCCTACCCTACTCCAAGATGACCTCATCATAATTAATACATCTGCAAAGATCCTATTTCTAAATAAGGTCACATTCTGAGGTTCCAGTTGGACAAACTTTTGGGAGACATTTTTCAATCCACTACAGTGGTTCAACATACAAAAATCAACCAATGTAATACCAATGCAAGAAGAAGATATGAAAGGCAGCCAGATTGGAAAGGAAGAAGTCACATTATCGTGATTTGCATATGACATAATCTTATAAAGAACTAATGGAGACCTAAAAATACTCTGTCTGTTTCCTAGACACATATCCTGCCATAGTTAAAATTATTCTAGATACATAATTTAGTGTCCTGTCTCTATCACTCCTGCATGGGACAAAACACAATGAACTGCCCTCACCCTGTTGACTAGTCTGAAGATGGCCTCCACCGATACAGCTTTTCTCACATTTTGTAATTCCTTGAGATATGGTGGTGACAGGAAGGAGGCGGCAGAGATGTAGAAGACGGACACAGGTAATGATCCAGATGTGGGGAGCAAGGGGACCTCACTGAGGGATGCCTCCCTAGGGTAGGCTGAAAAGTGGCCCCGCCAAAGACATCTACTGGCAATGGTGAATGTGACCTTATTTGAAGAGGTCTTTGCAGATGTTTAAGGATCCTGAGATTTGCAGATGTGCTTAAGGCTTCCAAGATTAACTGAAAAGAGGGTCTTTGCAGATGTGTTTAAGGATCCAGGATTATTTCAGGTGGACCCTAAATGTCATCACAAGTGTCATTCGAAGAGAAAGGAGGAGACACAGAAACACAGAGCAAGAGAGGGTCATGTGATGACGAAAGAAGAGACTGGAGTGATGTGGCTGTAAGCCCAGGAAGGCTGGGGCAGCCACCCCATGCTAGAAGAGGCAAGGAATAGATTCTCCCCTGGAACCTTTAGAGGGAGCAGAATTGGCCTCCAGAATTGTGGTCAATACATTTCTGGTGCTATAAGCCACCAAGTTGGTAGTAATTTGTATGACAGCCTCAGAAAACTAATACTCCCCCATCTTCCTCCCTGCCCTGTTCCTCTCCCAGTCTTCCCCATCTCAGTAACAGACACCACCCTCAAGTCAGACACCTGGGCAGCCCCCTTGACCACAGGGGTGGCGAGCTTATCAGCATCATGTACTGTGCCCTGAGGATGCACCCGCCGCTGTGCTAAGTCATTTACATGCATTCTTCTCACTGAATTTTAATCCTCACACAACCGTGACATGAGACACTGACATTATCTCCTGTTTACAGAAGAGGAACCTGAGGCACAGAGAGAGGTTAAGTAACCAGCTCTGGAATCTAGAGCACCAAGTGGCAGAACCTGGAGGAAAACCCAGAGGTAAGTGATTCCAAAGCCGAGATGTCTCACCAACTTGCCATCCTGCCTCTCAGGCCAGTTGGAATACACGGAGGGTTTGTGGCCCGGGAAACAGCCAAGCAGAGATGTCAGCCATACAATGGGACAGAAATCCAGTCTCAACCTTAGGAGGGATCAGGACGGGATAGAAACTGCAGTGTCAAGCTCAAGTTGAACTCAGCATAGACCGTGTTTAAAGCTGTGCCATCAGAGATGGCCCCAGGAGTCTGTGTGGAGCAGAGAGGACCCCAGACCGAGTTCAAGGAGCAACGCCATTTGAAGACTGGGAAGAGAAATCAGTTAAGGAGATGGAGAAGGCCAGGCTGAATGAAAAGCGAGAGAAACTCAGGGTGCGATATCATGAAAGTCATGGGAACGGAGGTGTTTTTAACCACATCTCACTGCCACCCAAGGTACACTACACAGGTGCTCCATGAGATTTATGGAAACTTTGTACATTTACACATTTCACATCGCTGATACCATTCTAAAAGAAATTCAGACCAGACATGAATTAATCAAGTAACCACTATATTTCTTAAACGGACTTTCAAGTCCTCACGATCATATCATTAAAATGCTAAATCCTTTAGATGATCATTGTCTTTCTAGGTCTTTGCTTAATTGATTTAGCAGACAGGATATTGTAGAGAAGCAATGAAACAGACAAGATCCCAATCCATGTGAGACACCAAACATAGCCCAAGGAGCATACACCAGGGAGGAATAGCTATGGACTCCAAATGATTCTAACTTCAGGTGGTGAAAAATCAACGAGTTATTCCAACTGCATAATGATTTACAGACAGGACATGAAAATATCCAACATTTCTGCAATGCTATTAAGAATATACCTTGTTGGTATCAGCGACACTGTTTTGTCGAGCATCAAAAATGATAAGCTTGTGTGACTGTGCGTTAGCATCCATTATTGTTTGCAAATATTTTTCATCCTCTTTGCAGCGCTTATCATTGGGACCCACAAGTGGCTGGCTGCAACGGGTAATTGTTGCTTGACTTTCCGGATGAATCCATGACAACACCTAGTGTTTTTAAGCAACAAGTGTTAGTACAGTTCCTAAAGCAATGTATGCTCTAATTACCTGGTAGGAAAAACAAGTTCCCTTCTCAAGCATGGTCTCTTATACATATTTTCTTCAAAAGTGAGAGTGGGCAGGCCAATCACAGAGTTGTAGTGGCCATCAGACTCAATGTTTTGGTCAGGATGAAACAATTCTGACTACATGAGATCTAAAAATCCCCTCCCACCCCAAAAATTCTATGATTCTAAGAAAAACCCAAATCAAACTATTACTAAAATCTAGCCCCATTCCAATTTGATTGACTAATTTTATCTTGTCTCCTAATTTTAAAAACAACTTTGTATCTCAACAATAACATACGTGGCAGGATAAGAACAAAGTGAATATACAGTCTCTTATAAAATCTGCCACTCTGCCACCCCACCTCTCATTTTCCTCCAGTGGCCAAGTGACTCAGGATTACACCAGATGCAAACTCTGGGCTCAAACCATTACTCCCTGCTGTCTGCTACTACTTCTGTAATGATGTTCCCCCCACGCAGCTATGGCATCATGCTCAGTATCTAAGAAAGAAGCATTTTCTCTAGGATGATGCAGTGAAACCAGCAATGCCAACTGGTAATACAACAGCATGCTAACTTGTTCTTGCTACTCCTTTGTTACTCTCTACTACTTTTAGAGGGTATGACTAAAGTTACCCTTATACTTAGTTATAGGAAATCGTACAAGAGGGAGTCATAGCAAACAGATTGCTTATATAATTAGGTATCTGTTGAGAATCAAAGGTATATCCAGGTTTATAAGTTTATTTTTCTGCTTTCCATTTTTGTTCACTGAATTCTTGTCTTAAATCTTTCCATCTTAGACCTAACGCAATACATATTCCTGTATAAATGACAATGTTTATTACTTACAGGGACTCTGCCTTTTGCTCGAAAAGCTGCCACTTTTGAAAGGTCATCGTCTTTTACACTAGTTGGCACAACAATGATGGCAGGGTAGGTGTCACAGAACTCATAATTACTGTTTATTTTGGATATTTTCCAACTCTCATTTGGCAAACCCTGCAAGGTGTTGGAGAAAGAAGAAGAGGGGCAAATGCATGACTTTACGCTTTGAAAAAGTACTAAGCATGAAGCATATCCATTTCTTATTTGCAACTAAAATCCATTTATAATTTGTTGTTTATTGTAACTTAAAAGTCAATATATATATTTATTTGGTAAAACCAATTTCCTAGACATTTCTAAAAATCTAAAGAAGCAAAAGAATATCCAAACCACACTAAAACATGAAAATTATACACTAGAATCACATTTCTATATATTTCTTGTCCTATTTTCTATAAATAAGCTCAGTGTTATTTCTGAAAATATACTCAAAAGTCCTTTAGAAACACAGATACTTCTTACAAATGTCTAAAATAAGTAACATAAAACGTTATACCAAATATAAGGTAGAGACAACATCATGAAACAAACGTAATGAAAATAAGATCTTAGTGGAATAATTTGAAGCTGACAATGCACTGAAGAGTTCCCAGACCCAGGAACACCGGATCAGAATTATGTAGCCACACCACATGCTTCGAATCTAACTGTAGTCGGTGGTTTGGATCCTTACTCATCAATTCTTTACCAGAACATCCAATAAAAACCATCTGGCAAATTTGGTTTTTAAACCCGTCCTTGTCCTTGAGTCCCACTCACCCTCTGGAAACAGGATGAACAAACAATTACAAAGTCTAAGGTTTGGCACAGGGAGAAGAGAGCATCAAGAGAGATGGAGAACTATAAGCTAGCAGTTACACCTGTGCATAACTTGTTTGAAAAAGTTTCTTCTCTGGCCGGGCACGGTGGTTCACGCCTGTAATCCCAGCACTTTGGGAGGCCAAGGCGGGTGGATCACGAGGTCAGGAGATCGAGACCATCCTGGCTAACACAGTGAAACTCCGTCTCTACTAAAAACACAAAAAGTTAGCCGGGCATGGTGGTGGGCGCCTGTAGTCCCAGCTACTTGGGAGGCTGAGGCAGGAGAATGGTGTGAACCACGGGAGGCGGAGCTTGCAGTGAGCCAAGATTGCGCCACTGCACTCCAGCCTGGGCGACAGAGCGAGACTCCATCTCAAAAAAAAAAAAAAAAAAGTTTCTTCTCCACCACATCATTTCTAACCTTTTAGAAGTGAAAAAGATGCTCAACCTATTATTTTCAGTTTGATAAGCAATATACTTTACCTGCCTCTTATATTCAGATACTGGATCATAAACTTTCCAGCCATTAATTGGAAATTTTTCTTTATAGCTGAATGCAAATAGTGCCTGGACACAAAAACCACAAAACACATATGTCATTATTTATTTTTATATCATATACCCAACACTAAAGCTTTTCATTCTAATATGAGCTGAGTGTATTAAGATTCCTATTTTAGTCTGTAAATTTTAAAGCAACGAAGTAGCAGCTTTTCTTGAGCATTACCCAGAGCTGACAAATTTCTAATATTAGTCACCAACGGAGGAAAAAAGAGAGGGGGAAAGAAAAACCTCTGGAAAAAGGAATAATTAAACATAGGACATTTGGACCCCCACAAATGCATGTAGAAAAGGTTTACTTTGGTGTATTTACCTGTCCATTAGAAAGAGGAAATGCATGTTTGTTGAGGTTTTCAAATATCCCTAGTTTACTCTGTTCTTCCTGTTTATAAGCAAGCCGCAAGTTCCTCATATCCTGTTAAACAATTAGCAAAACTCAGTTATTCAACATACATCGGGCACCTATACGCCAGATACCGTGCCATAAATAAGGAAATTAATTTTTTTATTCATCTCTCCTTTTATACTTTATCTTGCTCCAACTAACAAAAGACAATTTAACAAAAATACCTCCAATGATATTTTTAAAAATTAAGTGAGGGAATTGGAACAAAGAGGATATGTGTGGTAAAAATTCATCAGATGGAAACAAGAAGATTCATGCCCAAGTCCTGTGCACTTTCTTGCTAAACTTGTGCCACAAAATTAGTTGTACTCTTTAAGCTGCTGAAAGAATCAGTTAAGAATTCATGCCATCCATAAAACAGAAATGTAGCAGACACTCCTCCCCCACATACTCACAGAAAGGACTCCCTATTGGGTACAGACTGTAGCCCTCAGTAACATCCTTACAGCAATACAATGCTGTTTCTCCACACCACAGTTTCTTAAAATGCCCCCCAATGCAAGCTGATGGCCAAAGGCCAAAGCACAAGTCAGCAGGAATAATCCCACCAAGGCCGACTGTGATGGTGTGATTTCTTCCCAGGATGTTTTCAGCAGTGTCCTTGACCTTTCAAAATCTATGCTCTTGTTAGTTAAACACAAAAATCTCATTCTTCTTTAACATTATATGAACTTTGAAGGTAAATATGACCACAAATTAAAAAAATAGCAATTAAAATGAAGTTATTCTTGTGGTATTATTTGTAACAGCAAAAAGAATGGAAATAACCTAAATGTCCATCAATAGGCGGCACTTATAATTAAACTGCAGTACAGTTGATGAAACACTAAAGAGCTGTTAAAAACAAGCAGCAGCTCTGTACGTACTGACGTAATGGAGTGTTGCGATGTATTGTCAAGGGGAAAAAGAAAAGGAGTAGAACAGTGTATATAATATACTACCATTTACATTTTCTTTTTTTTTGAGATGGAGTTTCACTCTTGTTGCCCAGGCTGGAGTGCAATGGCACAGTCTCCACTCATTGCAACCTCCGCCTCCCTGGTTTAAGCGATTCTCCTGCTTCAGTCTCCCGAGTAACTGGGATTACAGGCACCCACCACCACTACCAGCTAATTTTTGCATTTTTAGTAGAGACAAGGTTTCACCATGTTGGTTAGGCTGGTCTTGAACTCCTGACCTCAGGTAATCCACCTGCCTCGGCCTTCCAAAGTGCTGGGATTACAGGCATGAGCCACTGCGCCTGGCCCCACTTACATTTTCAAAGAAGGACTATACATACATTCTCATGTGCATAGGCTAGCTGTGGAGGGTTACATTAGAAATTGGTAACAGTGGGTGCCTGAAATGAGTGGAATGGGGAGGCAGGGTGGTGGGTGGAAGGAGACTGATTTTTTACTATATACAGTTTTTGTATCTTTTAAATTGTGTATCACCTGTTAAAAAATAAACCCCACACCTTATAAGGCTCTTAGGCATGATCTGAGAAGACTGGGAGCATGACCTTAGTAATTCTAGGTTAGAGAACATTTAAAGTAGTTGTTAGCAAATGCTCACCCTGGCCATAAAAATATCTTAGTAAAAGAGCCCCAGGACGCCTGCCTAAGCAACATAATTTCCTGAAATGCTCTCCCTCTAAGCTACATGGCTACACACATACACCTTGGTGGCTGACTGAGCTGACTTGCTATTTCAGATTGCTATTTAAGATTGCTTACGAGCTAAGGAAAGAGCATGTGCAAAGATTCTGGGGCGGGGCGGTGGCGCGGTGTGTGTCAAGTATGAACCACCAAAGGAAAGCCCATGTGACTGGGATGGCCAGAATGAGAGGAGGGCAGTTTGAGACGAAGCTGCAGAGGAAAGGGGGTCAGGCAGAGAAGTCTTGTAAGGAGAGTTTTTCCTTTAGTCTAAGGATAATGGGAAGATACTCAAGCGTCATGAGAAAGGGGACGACATGTTTCAAAATTGCAGAACCAATCAAGTCATCCCTCTGCTTGCCACTGTTCCATATGGGGAACCCTGCCTGAGAAGGACAGTTGTCAGGTAGTGCCTAAAGTGAGTTTAGTAAGCCAACAGATTCATGATCTGGAAGAGTAAAGTGTTCTTTGGGGAAAAAAAAAAATGGTTTTGAGCGCAGTCTAGGACCAACCAGAGGGAGCTATCCTCAGAGACTGAATCAAAACAAATAGATTGTAAGGAATCCTAACCCAAAATTTGGAAGGGGCCCTGACGATCCTGCAGGCAGGATCTCTTTCCTGGTACTTCAGGTAGGGTTTTTGGTAAACCACATTATCAAAGTAAAGTCACTGGGAATAAAATACATCAGTTAAGAGTGGGTCCTACATGACTTCATGATTAAAGTTATCACACACATTTCTACTTAAATTATTAGAAGGGTACAAAATAAACAAACAAGCCCAGCTCAGCATAAAAATTCCAGCATAGCCAAGAAACTTAATCTCATTTTTAATCACAAAATTTATGGACCACTGCTGTCCCTTTAGGAAGTCTCTGACCATCCACACTGTTCTGAACGTAGTCTTAAAACAACAAACTGGGAAAATGTATTGATCTCTGCTTTTCACCTGATTTCTCTGAGATGTGACAAATAATCACTTAGGTTACAGGTCCACATTAATTAGAAATACAGTCGGCCCTTACTATCCATGGGTTCCACATCTGAGGATTCGAACAACTGCAGATAGAAAATATTTTTTAAAAGGATGGTTGCATTTGTGCTGAACATGCAGAGACATTTTTTCTTGTCACTATTCCCTAAACAATACAGTATAACAACTATTTACATAGTGTTTACACTGTATTAGTTATTATAAGCAATATAGAGATGATTTATAGTATACGGGAGAATGTTCTTAGGTTATATGCAAATACTACATCATTTTATATAAAGGACTTGGACATCCATGGATTTTAGTATCTGAGGCGGAGGTCCTGGAATCAATCGCCCACTGATACCAAGGAACAACTGTACTTCAATAGAAAAGGTTTATTTCAAAGGGCTACATAATAGTTTAAATTCGATATGAGATTTGAAGAGGTTGCTATCCCGAAAACATTTGAGTTACTAGCAGTACAATTATTCTACTGTCCAAAGACCATGAAGAGACTGAGGGAGAAAAAGTTCAGATCTTTTAGTTTTCGCTTGTGTTTCTATTATACCTTGCACACTATCTCTATACCACAGGAATTGTCTCCATGGCTCTGTGCTCCAATCTTCTCAACTCTGCTGATCACTCCAAGGGGAACATCAAGGATAAAATGTGGGTCCTAGGTTTAAAAATTAAGATCAATGTCTATTAGTGTCAGTCAACAGTTTTCACATTTTAAGTCTTTGCTGGGTTACAAAATATGTTTGTTTACTTCGCATTTCCTCTCTGTCCCAGCTAAACTGAAGTCTGATTGATAGCATTCCTTATGAAATATATATTGAGACAACAATGGAATTTCCCCCCCAGGTTTAAGCAGTACTTTAACAGCCTTTGTTTTCAAGATACAAACATCTGTTTAAAGATGTACATCTCAAAACTCAACCTGTGGTTATCTCAGGGTAATGGGATTTCAGGGGTCTTTTTACATTCTTCTTTTAGTGCTCCAAAGTGTTTCTTTTAAAATAAAACACACTTTAAAAAACTCACCCTCTCGACATTTTTGAAGTACAGCTTAAAGTCTGTCACTGTCAGGGTTCCACTCACTGCTCCCATAACTGGACAGATATACATGACATCTTTCACTGAAAGAAAAGGGCCAAAGTAGCAACTACTGCCATAGACAAAACCTAGAACCACATCAATGAAGTGGAAAAAAAACTTGTTTCAAATTCCTTGTCGGCTTCCTTATCAGTTTTAACTTTTTGTTAATATCTATTAAGTGCATGACATATTTAATCCCTATTAGTGTTAAGAAGCTAACATCTATCACAAAGACACCACATCTTCATGTTTTCCCAAAGTGCCATTCCACTGGAATGACAAGAATATACATAGCTATATATGAGTCCAAGTGAGACAACAAAAGGCTTTAATGTCACTGAACCAAATTCTCAAACTACTTCCATTTAACTTTTCTGTAACTCCTTATGTACTGAGAGCCTTCTATTGCTGGGATTCTGGGTATAACTGGAAACAGTTCCTGTCCATGAGCAGCCCATGACCTGTGAGAGATACCACACAGAAAAATCGCCATTATACTAGAGCAGAGGTCCCCAACCTTTTCGGCAGCAGGGACCGGTTCATGGAAAACAATTGTTCCATGGACCAGGGCGGAGGTAGGGGGATGGTTTCAGGATGAAACTGGTTCACCTCAGATTATCAGGCATTAGACCCTCATAAGGAGCATACAACCTAGATTCCTCACATGCGCAATTCACAATAGGGTTCGTGTTCCTATGAGAATCTAACCACTGATCTGACAGGAGATGGAGTTCTGGCGGTAATGCTCAATAGCCCGCTGCTCACCTCCTGCTGTGCAGCCCTGTTCCTAACAGGCCGTGGACTAGTGCTGATCCACAGCCCATGGGTTGGGGATCCCTGTACTAGAGGCTGACAAAAGCTAAAATAAAAATGTGGACATAAAGTACTACAATGAAAGTTCAGAAAAGGATCAATTTAACTCAGTAGGAAAGTGGGTAGGGGGAGTAAGAGAAGGAAAGGAGGAAGGGCACAGTGATAAGTTGTTAGCGGTTAGTATGCCTGGATCAATGGGTGCAGTGAGGACAGTGGAACACGACGCCAGAGAAGTTGGCAGGGAGCGGATTGGCAAGTGCTTCTGTAGGATACTGAGGCATTATTATCATTATCCTTAAAAGATAACTGACTGTTTAAACAAAAACAAAAACTATATATTGTGGGGTTTATAACATATGTAAAAGTAAAACAGATGACAACAACAGCACAAAGGGTGGGAGGGGACAAATGGAAGTATACTACTGTAAGGTTCTTATCCTGTACATGAAGCAGCATACAATCATTTGAAGGTAGACATAAAGATGTAAAATAACTAGTTACATAACAAAACAAACAATTATAGCTAATACGCAAGCATAAGACATAAAATAGAATTCTAAAAAGTAAAAACCCCATAGTCTCAATCCAAAAGCTCCTTCAGCTGATAAACAACTTTGATAAAGTTTCAGGATACAAAATCAGCATACAAAAATCACTAGCTTTCCTATACACCAACAGCCAGGCCAAGAGCCAAATCAGGAATGCAACCCCATTCACAATAGCCACAAAAATAATAAAATACCTAGGAATATGGCTACCCAGGGAAGTGAAAGATCTGTACAATGAGAATTACAAAATACTGCTTGAAGAAATTAGAGATGACATAAACAAATGGAAACACATTCCATGCTCCTGGATAGGAACAATCAATATCGTGAAAATGGCCATACTGCCCAAAGCAATTTATAGATTCAATGCTATTCCTATCAAACTACCAATGACATTCTTCTCAGAACTAGAAAAAACTATTTAAAAATTCATATAGAACCAAAAAGAATAGCCAAGGTAATCCTAAGCAAAAAGAACAAAGCTGGAGGCATCATGTTACCAGACTTCAAACTATACTACAGGCCTACGGTAACCAAAACAGCATGGTACTGGTACAAAAACAGACACACATAGACAAGTGGAACAGAATAGAGAGCCCAGAAATAAGGGTGCATACCTACAACCCTCTGATCTTCAACAAAAGCAAGCAATAGGGAAAGAATTCCTTTTTCAACAAATGGTGCTGGGATAATTAGCTAGCTATATGCAGGTAACTGAAACTGGATCCCTTCCTTACACCATATACAAAAATCAATTCAAGATGGATTAGAGACTTAAATGTAAAACCCAAATCTATAAAAACCCTGGAAGACAACCTAGGCAGTACCATTCTGGACACAGGAACTGGCAAAGATTTCATGACAAAGATGCCAAAAGCAATCACAATAAAAGCAAAAATTGACAAATGGAATCTAATGAAACTAAAGAGCTTTTGCACAGCAAAAGAAACTATCAACAAAGTAAACAGACAGCCTATAGAACAGAAAATATTTGCAAACTATGCATCTGACAAAGGTCTAATATCCAGCATCTACAAGGAATTTAACAAATTTACAAGAAAAAAAAACAAACAACCCCATTAAAAAGTGGGCAAAGCGGCCGGGCGAGGTGGCTCACGCCTGTAATCCCAGCACTTTGGGAGGCCGAGGCGGGCGGATCACGAGGTCAGGAGATCAAGACCATCCTGGCTAACACGGTGAAACCCCGTCTCTATAAAAATACAAAAAATTAGCTGGGTGTGGTGTGGGCGCCTATAGTCCCAGCTACTCAGGAGGCTGAGGCAGGAGAATGGCGTGAACCCGGGAGGCGGACCCTGCAATGAGCCGAGATCACGCCACTGCACTCCAGCCTGGGTGACGAGCAAGACTCCGTCTCAAAAAAAAAAAATTTTTCAAAAGAAGACATACATGCAGCCAATAAGCATATGAAAAAAAGCTCAGTATCACTGAACATTAGAGAAATGAAAATCAAAACCACAGTGAGATACCATCTCACACCAGTCAGAATGGCTATTATTATATTAAAAAGTTATAAAAAACAGATGATAAGGTTGCAGAGAAAAGGGAATGCTTATACACTGTTGGTAGGAGTGTAAATTAGTTCAACCGTTGTGGAAAGCAGTGTGGCGATTCCTCAAGGAGCTAAAAATAGAACTACCATTTGACCCAGCAATCCCATTACTAGGTATATGCCCAAAGGAATATAAATTCTTCTGCCATAAAGACACACTCACATGTATGTCTGCTGCAACACTATTCACAATAGCAAAGTCATGGAATCAACCTAAATGTCCATCAATGCCAGATTGGATAAATAAAATGTGGTACATATACACTACGGAATACTTGCAGCCATAAAAAAGAATGAGATCATATATCCTTTGCAGGAACATGGATGGAGCTGGAGGCCATCATCCTTGGGGATGGGGGAGAAGGCAGAGGAAGTAGGGATTACAAAGGGGCATAAGGAAACGAAAACTTGTGGGAGGTGATGGATATGTTTGTTACCTTGACTGTGATGATGGTTTTTCAGGTGTACACTGTGTCAAAACTCTTCACGTTCTGACAATGACAAACTGAAATAATACTCTAGATGGAGTACTTTACTTCACAATGACCTATTTTAATACTTTGCCTCCAGGAATATATTTTATTAAAAAGTAGAGGGTCAATTTACTTACCCTTTGCAAGCCACTGGAGGAGCATGAAGCATACTTACATCACTTAAGGATGTCTTAAGATCTAACTCTAAGATATTTCCAATAATTTGTACTGGAGTGGGGCCAGGCAGGAGTTTCTCTCTCTGAGCTCTGCTTCCAGAGTGAAAGGAAAAGAAAACGGAAGAGAAAGAGCAATAGGACCGCAGCTAAATCCACTGAAGCCTTCTCTTCTTACTGCAACAACTGTGAGCTTGCAATCCAAGCTTTTATAACGTTCCCTGCTCATTCAAAATATGTATCTGATGTGCAAAGTTGTCAATCACCTACATGAGCTCTAATCTTTTCTGAGCTGACTTTGATTCACTGACAAATTATAAAACTAAAGTGAAAAACAACCTCTTCACATTTTACATTTTAAATCTGTGTTGTTTACTGTCTGAAGAAGAAGCAGGGGCATGACATAATTACCTCTGCATTTTAAACAGATCATTAAGAAAGCAGTATGAGGGCAGAGCTAGAAGAACGCCCAGGGAAGGAACAAAGAGGTAAGAGGACTGCCAGGATAGAATGAAGTCCTAGAACTCAAGGAAATAAAGAATTTCAAAACCAAGGAGAAGATAAGCATGGTCCACAGACACAGACTAGGACATACAGCAGCAGTAATTGATTGGAGGATCTGGTGGGAGAGCCCCGCTACTCAAATATTCTTGGCACAAGATGACTATACTCTGAGACTGAGTGTGCCTCTTTGGGAGAAAGCCATGATGGAAGAAGGAAACAGTCTAGAAAACCAGACTGTCCAACCCAACCAAGTGATGAGATGAATCGGTCGCATCCAGCTTCCCCTCCCATCCACCCATGGCACAATCAACTACTCCCTGAAAGGCCTGGCAATACACCATGGAGGGATATGGAAGCCCTCATGCCATCACCTTTAAAAGCCAGGATGGCAATACAAGCCCTTGCCATGCACCAAAATTGTACTTTTTGGGATCTGATAAACCACTAAAATTTCTTTGCTGAGTTCTCAAAACTGTTATTAAAACATGATATAGATCTCCTATTGATAAATTTTCCTTATACTGAAGGATTCCAACAAAGCAGTGAACTGACATTACATTGAGTGTCTAATCAGCTTGCAGTTCACCAGGAAAAGTCAGGCTCCTCTTCTGTTGGGAACGCCATCAAATACTCAATTGGAACTTAACGGGATCCTCTACAGTCTTCTATCTCTTAGGTCATGATGACACTAATGAGGATGAATAGATCTAGCCCATTTGTCCCCTAATTAAGTTGGTCTGGCTGATCTCCAGCACACACATCACCTCCACTCGCAAATTAAGTGCCATTTCATTTTATGGCTCTCAACAAGCAAAGTGTACACACAAAACTTACCAATGGCTTTAATTGATTCTCCTGGAAAAAGTGGAGCCTCTTCCATCTGTGCCAGCTTATTTCCATCCCTTAGAGCCTGGCAAAAACAAAAAACAAAACAAACAAACAAAAAAACACCAAACAGGAGTAAATCTCACTTTCTGTATACTTGTGAAAAATTTTGATGTTCTGTGATGTCACTATAAGGCTACAGAAGCGTGCAAAATAAGCACCCAACCCCTCAAAAGACAATTTCAAAGCTCAGCATCACAAGACATCATGCTGCATATTCTAGCAAATTGTTACAACATATTTAAATTTCACAGTTAGGAAGCATTAATACAGAAATGGCTTGACATGACAGAAAGATACTGTAATCACTACACAGATAACTATTAAAAGGTGTCTCTAGAATTTGCAAATAAGGTCAGAAAAAGGTTACCTTTTGAGCATGAAACTAATACAAATAAAACCAACATGAGATATAGGTGCTTAGCTAACTGTAGAAATAACCCAGCCTATGAGACAGTTTGGGAAGGCCAGAAGTCTAATTAAAATAACCAGAGAATAGTCTCAGTACAGTACACAACTAAGGAAAGGCCTAGGCTTTGGTACTGCAGCCCAGCTGTCTGTGTGTGTGTGTGTGTGCGTGCTCGTGCACATGGACATGTATGCACAAAGTGTATGACCAGGGACATGAAGAGTGAAGTTCAGTGTTCACCCAATCCAGGCCATGAGAGAGTGTGCTCTCATCTGGCAGGCAGGCAACAGTATTCAATCCCTACTGCGGAGCAGGGTGTTTTCATCAGGCATGTCCCAAGACAATTCACTTTGCAGTAATTTCACACTCACCAAGAAAATTGCTAATGATTTACTAGGTTTCCTGGCTACAATGATGCTAGGAAAAGGATACCTTAGATGGCCAGAAGAATACATGCCCACGTTTTAAAATTAGCAGATTGGCACTGCAGCCCAGTAGCCAGTCCCTTGTGAGCTTGGTTGGATAGTGCCAGATAATTGAGAGGAGGTGAGAAAATGGTGTTCTTGAACTACAAAGTTAGGGACCAAAGCCTGAACTCGGGGCCTACTCCGAGGTACCGCCACCCTGTGAAATGCTGCCAAGGAAACCAGTCACTTTCTCCTCGGCATCTCTGACATAATGTGTCATGAATAAGAATAAGGTGATCAAAACCCCCAGCAATTCCAAAGCTGTATTTCACAGAGCATTACTTTCCCAAGAGATGTGAATAGTCTTAAAAATAAATAAATAAATAAATAAAAGTTTGGGAAATGCTGGGTTAAGCAAAACAAGCTCAGCTGTTTTTTTTTTTTTTTTTTTTTTTTTTGAGATGGAGTCTCGCTCTATCACCAGGTGGCACAATCTCGGTTCACTGCAACCTCTGCCTCCTGGGTTCAAGCAATTCTCCTGCCTCAGCCTTCCAAGTAGCCGGGACTACAGGCGCACGCCACCAGGCCCGGCTAATTTTTGTATTTTTAGTAGAGACGGGGTTTCACCATGTTGGCCAGGATGGTCTCGATCTCTTGACCTCGTGATCCACCCGCCTCAGCCTCCCAAAATGCTGGGATTACAGGCGTGAGCCACCGCGCCCGGCCTCAGCTGCTTTTTTTAGTGAGACATCTTTAGTGTGTTAATGCACACCAAATCAGCAAGAGGGCGCTAGAGTATAATGCATTTCTCATACCTATTTGATCGGGACTGCTTTTTCCACCTGTTAACATCGGAGGCCACTAGTGTTCAGTGGAAAACAGGTCAAATAATACTAAGTTTTCAGCATAATTTTGTAAAGCAAAATATTTTTAAATGGATGTCTTTTATAATTCTAAATTATTGAAAATTCAAAATAGTAATTATTTTCATAGTTGCAAGAATATTTCACTATGTTTTATTAAAGGACTTAAAGTTCAATTTAGAAATACTACACATAGCAGTTTCATCAAATTTTATAAAAGGAAGAAAGCCAAACTATAAATAGCAAATTCAATGTTAAATGTTGGTCAGGGGTATGTTAATTCTACTGGGAGAGCACAAAATGACATGGTCCATCCTCCTCCTTATTGAAAGGTGCATGGTTAAAATAATATAGATTAGGAATCATCATTACCTCCAAACAGTTAATTAAATTCAAATGTTTAGTCCAGACTGGTTTTTAAAGACATTTTCAGCCAAAAGTTTTTGGAAGTTAACACATTAAGGGTGGGTGTGGAGAATGATTAATGGATTCATTTTTATACTCACATCTGTTCTGGAAATATATTTTATGCAATAAAGCATAAACTAACATGTATACTTATAAATGTCTGGTTTTAGAAACACTAAAAGATCTCCAATCTTAGAAGCCTTAATTTTAAAGTCTGCTTTATTGCCTGAACTAGTGACTAATTGTATAGCATCTCACGAAGTGAGAAAGCTACTTTAATCAATATCAGAGTTTTAAATTACTTCAAATGTTATATTGTTAAAGCGAAATATTGTAATGGCTAAATATTATCATGTATTATACAGACTTAAGTTTCTTATATGTTAAAATTAAATGGAAGTAGATTATTTTGAAATATAATTACTAAAGCAAGCTGCTTTAATCAACTGAATCTAGAGGAGCTCAGGAAAGGTATGACTCTCTCTAGAGCAAGCCACATCAAACATTTTAAAGTCCTCAATCCAGGACTAATAAAATGTTGCATATAGGAGACAGAGGTGATTAGGACCATTTTAAGAATACACAATGCTCTCAAGATAGAAGTTGAAAATCAAGCATTTCTCTTCTCTTCCCATAGTCATGTCAAGTTTGGCTTGAAACTTCTGTGTATTTATATGTCAGTGAGACATAGTAAGGCAAATCTCTCACTAATGATAAATCTGGGACATGCTTTTTAAATGGCAAAAAAGAACAACTATTGGAATAAAACAAAGATGTGACCCAGTTGCTTCAGATCTCCCCGTAGGAGATTCCTTTTGTAAAAGAAACACATTTAGCTTTAGCATAGAAACTCAAGAGGAGAAGAGTTTTAAAAGCTTGGAGGTTTTTTGTTTGCTTTGGTGAGTATAGTAGATTCCCTTTATGAAGCTGCTGTTAGGAGAAGGGACTCACACTTATGCTACGTTAAGCTTTTACTGCAACTACGAGGTTGCACAGGACATGATTTGACCCTTGATTTATCCAACCCATGTTCAGCACAATCAAAGGATGGAATATTCTTAGGAACTAAATTTGATTTCATAAACACACCCATTCCTCTTGGTGCCGTGGCTCAAAGTGCTGCCCAACTGGGGAACTCCCTCTGATGACCTCATCCCAACTTTGTTCCAGTGACCCTGAAGGTCTAGCCGAAGTCTGCCAGCTCCCTGAATTTGTTCCTGAGGGCTCCAGCCCACCCAACAACCCTGGCCTCTTTGCTACTTTTCTCCTTAGCCTGAATCCAAGCCACCAGGTGGATCGTTTATATAATGGTTGCATGCCAAAAGCAGTGGCTTTCAAACTGGGCTCTTCAAGTTGCTTCCGGGGTCACCAAAGGAGGGTGGGGCTGGATGATGGTGGACAATGGTGTAGCTGAGCACCTGGGGCATGCCACACATCCCTGGAGCTGCTCTTCTCTTGGTTTCACATAAGCATTGGGGAAAGTACTGCAGCTTTAAAAGACTCCAGAGAGGGTCTAGAGGTACTGAGCAGAGTAAGCACTCAAGAATACTCTATGAATAATTTTGTATTCTGATTAATATATGTACCAATTCCACAACTATCTACATGGTACCAGGTACTGTGTTGGGCACAGATCATGCATATTTGAAGAAAGCAAAGTGTGCACCCTCAAGGAGCACCCTTAGCATATGTATCTGTCCCCTCTATGTCTATGTAAAGGCACTGAAGAATCCAACCGTGATGGAGGGTCATTAACCCCATCAATAACCCTATATGGGCAAACCGAGAAACACAGACAAACAAATTTCTAGTTGACAAAATGTTGGATAAACCAATTTTTGCAAATAATGTCATATGGAATCTAGCATATTTGGACAGGAGGGCACTACTATTGTGGTAAAAGCATCTGGAAAGCTTTGATTATCTAGAAGTCTAGAATGAAATGGCTTCTAAATACATGATCTGTAGCTACAAACAGATGAACATGTAGAACTTGCCACCTGATCAGCTTCAGCTTCAGAAGGGTAGCCATTGTGTTCTTCCTGAATCTCCTGCACAGCACCAGGTGCATGGACAAGAAAAAGCAAAGAGGAGAAAGAGAGACACGTGCAAACAGACAGGTGAAAGGACAGAATTTCTTTTTTAAGGAGACAGTAAGCATGTAAAAGTCGACACACCTTTCATGACTTTGCAAATCACAACATTTTCCCCCTTGGAGTTAAGGAAATAACGTGTAGGCCATCTATAGCATCCTCAGCCTAAAATGGAGTATCTACTCTGTGTTTGTGTTGGGGTAGAAAAATGAAAAGCAAACAAACATCACGAATTTCAAAGAATGTACTGTCTTTTCAAAACCAAGCAATACACAGCATATAGCAAAGAAACAAAATAACAGGCACATAACGTGCTCACAGAAAATAAAGCATACCACAGAAACCTGGCAAAGGGCAAAGTCAAGCCAAAATACAAAGGCAGTTTATAGACATGTATTTTAAACACAGTAAGTATTCATATTACATTGCTCAGGGATCAATTCCACTGCCCACATGCATATATCACATGCTGGAGATTATATATATATGTGTGTGTGTGTGTGTGTGTATACACATATATACACGTCTGTTTCTTATTGCTTATTGCTAATTAAATTCTGTGATTTATAAATCAGTATCATATTAAATATTTCTAATTACAGTATCAACACACTTCCAAGAAACAACGAAAAGGCCACACATCTTTATTTAATTTTTTCCAATCCCTTTAAAGGTATACTGTTCTTAATTTCTTTATAGAATCTATTATTTTTTGAAACTTTAAAAACTGGGCTTTTTATTCAGCAGGTGGTAAAAAGAATATGAATACTGAAGATGACAAGATTGTAATCTCTTTTTAAAGTTCTATCAAGTCTCTGAGGCTAAAAATATTCAAATTAGCCTATATATATTTTTGCTTCATGAAACTTTGGTTGCAATGACTATTGTTTTTACAAAGGCAACCAGTGAAGAAATAGTAAAACTTTAAAAGAATTTACTATTTCCCACCTTCCATTTTTGTCAATCAAGTCCAATAACTCCTTAATGTACTTTTATACTCTATCATCAGATTGAATTCAGTGCACAGTTGGTATAGTTTAGCACACTTCAAGGCAGTGTAATTTTTCAGTGCAGCCAGTTTTTTGAAATTTCCATTTTTTAAATACAAAGAAAATTGAATCATTAAGTTTTTAGAAACAGAAAGCTCAATGAACAAAAAATACAACATTTCAAAGTTCATGCAAGTGTAAAGCCAAGCACTAATATTTAACAATGTGAATCAATGAAAGAAAATGATTCTCATAAGCAAAAGAAAACATGGTGAAAACAAGACTAAAGAAAGGAAAACCAACTAGAATAACAAGACTTAACTTGCTTATTTTTGTACTACTTCGTTGGCTTCAATAAGATTAAAACTTTAAAACTGAAGTTATTATACTATCAAAATCCACATTGTTTTCCTTGAATAGAAATAGGTTAATTTTCTGTCTGTTAAATGCATGCACATTACCAATCTTTGTCTTGCTTTATGAATATTCTGAAATAAAGGGAAGGAAAATCATGAGGAAAATATAAGCTGTAACCCACTATATCTGTATTTTAAAAAATAGTAACTGGGATTGATTTTGCTAGATTTAACTTCAAGATTAGCACTTCTGCTTTTTGGATTCAACATGCAAACACAAACATGACTTGAAATCTTACTTAGATAGGACAGCCAACTAACCATTTTTTTTAGTTGCTAAATTCTGTAGCATGAATTACACAATAAACAAGATTAAAAGAGACCTCAGTAGCCCTAGCCTTATAACCCCAGTCATGAATATCCATTTGGTCATGATTCATGTAGTACAACAAAAGTCAATATTGCACACTGGTAACAATTTTAGCATCCTGCCCTCACACACATTGGCTTTTATTGCACATAAAAACATTGTAACAAATAAAGCGTTTCTAGTGAACACTTAAAGCTATAACACAGCAGAGCAAATTGATCTGAGTGATTCATAAAAACCAGTGAGAAGGTAAAGAACACTAAATAGACTAAGTGTTCGATAAAGCACAGACACACACAAGTAGGAGGCCCATCTGCTGAAAGCCAAATATCCTTACCCTTATATCAGGCCTCCTGAAAACCTGTTAGTTAAAATACAGAATATCATCATCATGGACATGTTACTATTGACCTGTGAAAGATGCCATTAAGTTCAACAGCCCATTCCCTAAAAAACATCATAATCCTCTAAGTAAAACCAACAAGATCAATCCTAACACATTTGCCCTCTAAGTTTCATTCGATATCAGATCAATCCTAATACATTTGTCCTATAATTTTCAGGGAAGTCTATGATTTGGAGAAACGTGTCGCCCTTAGGCAAGACTAACTACATTACCTTAAACGAAAACTCCTTCTGTCAAGTGCTATTACAAGCTATTGTGAACAGGCTGTGTTCAAAAAGTTCATTAGTTTCCATTTGGAATACTGAATGCATTTTCCTCAAAAAACCAATGATAAAAAAAAAAAAAGGCAGTTATATGTCCAAAGCAGCCCAGGAAAACATAACCAAAAAACCACAGAAATCCCCACCTTGGACCCAGAGCAAGCACAGCTCAGCTATATTGCATTGATGGTATCATAAAGCTGAGTTAACTGCAAAGCTTAACCTGGTTTCTATTGAAATTACATTTCCAATTCATATTTGGGACTCCAGAATTAAACTCCCCGATGTGGCCGCCACTGAGAGGAGGGTGCCTGCTCCCCGCCCCAGCACCAGCTGCATGGCCAAAGGGGAGCTCCAGGCGGGAAGAGGTAAGTGGCTGTTCCTGGAGGGGAGGGAAAGCCCAGTTTTATTCAGCAAGGACATTGATTTTAGCAACAACATTCTTGTTGTGCCTGAGGCCTGTGAATCCTAATTGAACATGCAGCATACACATTCAGAAAGCCCTGGTCAGAAGGAATGGCAGGAATTTTTAAAAAGCAAATAGTTGTAATAGCCTGGGAAGATTTTAACCATCTGTGTTCCCCATTCCAAAGTTGGAAATCCTATCTTCTGACCACTGAATGTTCTATGAAAACAAATCATCAGAAAAGAATCACTGGAGGTTCTTACTAGCTTTACGGTTTCACTCAGGATGCATAAGATCACATGACACAGATTCAAAAAAATCATTGTATTATCATTAAAATAATCTTTGAAGTCATTAAAAGGTATCTGAATTAACTGATGGTATAGCTAAAAGACAAAGTCTATACATAAGTTACTAAACACAGAGTATTCAGACTAAGAAGCTTAAATTTGTCTTTTTGTGGGAGGATGGATATGTTTACCTTAATTGTGGTGATGGCTTTATATGTCTGTATTTATGTCAAAGTTTATCAAATTGCATACTTTAAATATTTGAGGTTTATCATTTGTTAACTACACATCAAGAAATTTGATAATAAATAAAAGTAGTATATGCTTATGGTAATAAAAACCTCAAAATAGTAAGTCTCTCAGAGCTTCATTCCCCAGTAATAACCACACTTAACTAGATCTATTTTTAATTCTGAGAATTGCTTCCATTGTGATAGTTATGCTTCCATTTCTTGATTTGTCAACTTTAAACAGTGTCTATTAACCTCCCATTTTAAAAGATGAGAAAATTAACTCTCGAACTACTACCTCCCTCTTCCCAATCTCTGTTGATTGAAATGCTAATTTTGAGTTCTTTTGTTTTCCTTCAGCAGCTGCTGCATCAGAAAAAACACTCATGATTTTTATGTTTCAGATACTCTTCTAAGCACTGTATTAACTCATTTTATTCTCAGAACAACCTCATAAGATAAAAACTATTATGGACGGGCGCAGTGGCTCACACCTGTAATCCCAGCACTTTGGGAGGCTGAGGCAAGGGGATCACTTGAAGTCAGGAGTTCAAGACCAGCCTGACCAACATGGTGAAACCCCATCTCTACTAAAAATACAAAAAATTAGCCAGGCGTGGTGGCAGGCACCTGTAATCCCACCTACTTGGGAGGTTGAGGCAGGAGAATCACTTGAACCTGGGAGGCGGAGGTTGCAGTGAGCCGAGATCACACCACTGCACTCCAGCCTGGGCAAGAGCCAGACTCTGTCTCAAACAAAACAAAACAAAAACAAAAACAAAAAAAAAAACAACTATTACTGGTCCCATGTTTTGACAAGAAAACCAAGGCGCAGTTTAAGTAACCTGGCTGAGTTCAAGGTGGCAGAGCAAGTAGTTAAATCCCGGAAGTCTAGTTCTGGATTTGTGCCCATAACAACTCTACTATACTGCCTCAGCATGGCGCCTCTATCGTCAGACCGTTTAAACTACAGCCCTAAACCTATTTTGACTCCTCAAATGTTAAATATCTCTTAACTCCCTTCAGGTTTTTTGAAGAAATCAATACCACTAACCCTTCCTCCACCTCTCTACCTCCCAACCTCCATTCTGTAACTACAATTAATGTTTTGATGCTTTGTCTATAAATTGATAGTAAAAACTGAAAACTAAAAAATAACATTCACAATAAAATCTTTATGAAAATATTGTCCACTGCAGAACCAAATTGTGCAATTGAACCTTGATATGATTTGGACGTTGTCCCCTCTAAATCTTGTGTTGGATTCTAATCCCCAGTGTTGGAAGTGGGGCTTGGTGGGAGGTGTTTGGGTCATGGGGTGGATCTCTCACGGCTGGGCACTGTCTTTGAGCTAGTGAATGAATTCTTTTGAGATCTGGTTATTTAACAGTGTGTGCCACCTCCCGCTGCCTTGCTCCCACTCTGGCCATGTGAGACAGCAGCATCTCCTTTGCTTTCCACGATTGTTAGCTTCCTGAGGCCTCCCCAGAAGCCACGCAGATCCCAGCACTATGCTTCCTGTTAAACCTGCAGAACTGTGAGCCCAGTAAACCTCTTGTCTTTACAAATTACCCAGTCTCAGGTATTTCTTTGTAGCAATGTGAGAACAGCCTAACACAAACCTCATATATGGGAGTTATAACTCCTTGTCAATAGGCCTTTGCCACTAGAAGGAGAAACTAACTTGAAAAAGGGTGCAAAGGGGTGAGATGATAATCTGCTTTTAAACTCACATAATTCTTTGCCTACTGCCATGAAATCCTCAGTGTTCTTGGTATTGTTGGGGGGAGAAGGTCAATGGAGGCTTACCCAAAAGTCTCTCAGTTGATACCTATTATGTTTTCTCTGGATCACCATGTCCCTCTCCTGAAATAAGCCATTTCAGACACATGCACAGAGCTTCATTTTCTTCTTAAATGTTTCTGATGGAAGTCATAGGAGAATAAGTTGTAAGCCAGGAGGCCTGGAAGCCAGCTCTCGCTGATGATACACAGCTTCCTAATGCCTGCATTCTGGGCCTCACTTTCGACACATAAAATGAGGGGAGTCTATGGGATGACTGCCAGGACCCTACCAGTTCCCAACTCCCAAGGATTCGGGGTATCTAGGCCTCATTAGAAGACTAAAGAAAACATCTCTCAAACTGAGGCTAAGGGAGACAAATCGGCATAGTGGTTAAAAGAACACACTCCGGAGTGAACTCCCAGCTCCAGCACCTACTTACTGGCCACAGGACCTCAGGCGAGCCGCACCCCTCGCTTGGAATCTTAGTCTCCTCTTCTCTAAATGGGAGATGTTGAGTGCACCCCTTGCAGATTGTTGGCAGGGTTAAATCAGTTAAGACAATTGTACCTGGGGTGGATAAGTAACCTTTTCCAGTTGATGAGTCTCAGCTGCCCCAACTTGTGCCACAACTATTTTCACACATCCCACATCCCCTCCCTCAACTCCTAAACATGTCAAGAACCTATGAGAAGGTGCAAAAAAACGTTGATAGTGATCTTAATCTATTTAAGAAAGCAAGCATACAGCGCCAAAGTTAATGTTACTGGCCCTTGTCGTGCTCTAAATGGCTTTCACTAAATCAAGAAAAAGTAACAAAATTCAAATTTGTGTGAAAGTTTGTGTTGGGAGTAAAACTCCCTTCCTCTGTCCTTCAGGGCACTCCCAAGCAGTGAGGTGAGGGCTTCTGTTGACCACTTGCTTTGGGTGGACTTGGGTAAGGGAGCCGGTATACTTTGCCCTTCTAGGATCTGCCTGCCAGAGAGACCCTGAGAGTATAGCCTGGTCTTCCAAGCCTGTGGAGATTTCACCTATGTGGGCCCTGCCCGGAGAGATTGGCTGCAGTTGTCCAGGGCTACCTTTGGGTGCACATGTTTAACTCTAGAATGATGAACGAGGCAGCCCACCTAAATCAGCCCCTCCCAGCCAACTTTGGTCAATGAATAAAGCTGATACTTTGGTCTAAACTGTTTGGCTCCAGTTTTAATTCTTGATAAGGTAACAGTTGACACCCTGAAATCCCCAAAGTGTGAAAGTATTTCAGAAAGTTTTCAAAGGCAGCCAGTACTAGTACTACAAATAATAACAAGCAGTTACTGGAGGCTTACTATTACACCAGGTACAGTACTAAATGCTTTGTGAGTTAGCTCAACCCTCCCAGCCACCCATATGACAAACAAGAGAACTGAGGCAGTGAGAGGCGTGGTAACTTGCCCTAGGCCATACAGCCAGCGGCAGCACAGCAGGGATTCAAACCAAAGCTGGCTGGCTTTAGCAAGCATGCTCCTGACCCCAGCACTGCCCCACCTAAATCTGTTTCGCTTTTTGAGGGGGCTGACGAAGACCCTTAACTCCCAGAATGCCCTACTCTGCCCTGCTCTCTCCTTCCACCACAACTTGTTTACATGTCTATTTTAACACTTACCACAGGCCAACTTGTACTGTAATTTTCTGTGTCTCTTTGCCTGACTATGAACTCCATGCAGCCCAGCCCAGCCCAGCCCCTTGCACATAATAGGTACTCACATCATCTTTCTGGAAGTGGAGTAGTGTTCAGCAATGACAACACACTCCTCTTGTATTTGTTCTTACACATTATATTTTTGTAGAGTAATAGCGTACAGTAAATGAGCATTTGTGTTCCATCCATATGTCACCTCATTTAATATATTCAATCTCTGTTTTAATACCCATTATACAGATGAAGACACTGAGACTCAACAAGGTCAACTAACTTGTTAGGCAGCTTGTTAGTTACGGGGCTGGG